TTCTCTTACCTATAGGCAATACACAATGAATTTGGTTGGGAGAGATCATTCTCGTCCCCAATTCAGAGACTCACTAATTAGTCAACATGAATTTGGTTGGGCAGAGTCACCTCTAACCCTGAGTCAGAGACTCATGAACTAGTCACCAGAAGAGGTCACCCTCTCCCTACAGTCACCCGAGTGCACACTCAAATATCGCCAAAATTTGGTCAGGTAGAGTCTCCTCTAACCAGGAGTCAGGGACTCAACAATTAATGAATTTTGGTAGAGGGTCGTCACCTTCCCTCCAGGTCAGAGACCTACTAACGAGGAGACATAAGAGCTGCTTACCTCCAGGCTGTATGCATACAACTTATAGACTGATCAGATGCCCGATGCACCTCAATATTCACTATCTGTGGCCCACCAACTTCACAAAATCTTGTTGCTGCCCTGCTATCACTTTTGTTTCCCCGAGCTTCTCTCTTCAAGAAGTTACCCAACCTGAGCAAAGGCTCCCTAAGTCTGGCCTGAGGGCTGTTGGAGAAAGCTCTCTGACTGAGCCGACCCCCAGGGTCCAGACAGGGGTCTTGCTCACAAGTGGGTGTATCTTGGTGGGATTGCCAAAGCTGTGTGGGACAGCGACCCTAATTCAATTAAACTCAGAGAAAGGTAGAAGCAAAAGTTACTCTTTTTTTTTTTTAGGCAATTGGGGTTAAGTGACTTGCCCAGGGTCACACATCTAGTAAGTGTTATGTGTCTGAGGCCAGATTTGAACTCAGGTCCTCCTGAATCCAGGGCCAGTGCTTTATCCACTGTGCCACCTAGCTGCCCCAAAAGGTACTCTTTATTACAATCTCGCGAGAAGGGGTATCTGCTCCTCCAGCATACTACCAGCAGGAGAGATGCAAGGCACAGAAAGCAAAATGAGATTATATACCCTAATGCAAACAAACCTCCACCCACCATTATCCCTTATTCCCATTAGTTGGGAGGCGGGCTTACATTCTAGGCAGGAAAAAAGAACAAGGAAATAAGGTATAGCCAATCCAAGCATACATGTTCTTATTTAGCAAACCTAATGCTGATGTGGCAGTGGTGTGACAATCAGGAGGGGGTTTGGGGCTGAATTCCTATAGGTTTAGGTAATTTAAACTTATGGCCTGTTCGTTCTCTCGGAGCCTATCTCTAGTTTTGAGACAGTCTTTTCAGCACCACCCTGAGAAGTCTTCACAGAGGCTATATCTCACTCCCTACTCTTTCAGAAGAAGACATATGGGGGCAGCTAGGTGGCACAGTGGATAGTGCACTGGCCCTGGAGTCAGGAGGACCTGAGTTCAAATCTGGCTTCAGACACTTGACACTTACTAGCTGTGTGACCCTGCACAAGTCACTTAACCCCAATTGCCTCCCCAAAAAGGAAAAAATTAAAAAAAAAAAGACATCCAGTCATTAAGAGACTTCAAGGCACAGCTGAGAGAAATACATGGATACAAAGAAACAGAGCTTCAACATTGGACTGGATGGTATCAGAGGCTCTATTCAACCCCAAGATTCTGAGATGCTATGATATGATTTAATGTGATGTCCTCAGCCTTTAGAGAGTTGATAAAGGAGCATTCATTTGAACAGTGTTTTTGTATTTTTCACCTAGCCGTTGTGGAAGGCATTGTCCATCTGCTACCCAATACCCCTTATTCAAGAACTATACATTTCCACCCTTAAGTAGAGTAGCAGGAGTGATTGTTTCTTTTTTTCTGACAATGAACACTACGTAACCCAAAGTATTTCTTTTTTTGTGCCTTACTTAGCTACCAAGAGCGGCAAAGGTAAATTAGGTGTCTAAATGTAATGATCAGCTCATGTCAGGGAACTAGTAACTAACATCTACTCCCCTTAAATGTCCTCTCATTGTTTTCATCCTGAATTGTAAGATCTTACATCATGTATAATTTTGCAAGCTACCTTTTACCCTTTTGGACGTGGGTGGGGGAATCAGTTCAAAATAAACAAAATAACGCTCACATAGCAAACAGCACTGAGGACAATATCCTACAATAGTAATTATTTAATAAATGTTTCTTAAATTTATGTGGAAGGAGAAGTGGAAGTAGATAAAGGCAGCATTTTCAAGGCCCTGTACTGGATACTCCAATAAACAAGCTGTTCCTGGATCTTAAATATTCTTTCAAAATGAGCTTCTTTTCCAAAGTGAAATTTCATCAACTCTAGAACTTGATCTGGCTGAATAATAGGGGGGGAAAAGGTAAGCTGATCAGCTAAAATTAGATACTAATTATTTGTGAAATGCTTCTCTGTCAAGTTCTCCTAGTGCCTGCCCTACTTTTGTTTCCTGGTCCCAAGTTGTAAAGACCATTTAGCCTTTCTAAACAACTGCAAAAGCACAGCAGGACCTCTGGCCTAGAATTAAGGCTTCTGTATCAGTCATAGCCAAGTCCTCCTCTTTGAAGGAAATGCTAAAACCAAGACCCAGCTTTTTAGTTAGCTCTTGTAAATAAAGGAGGGAACCATGCTGTTCTTGGCCAATATTTTTCTTGTCAGTAGAATGAAGCTATTAGATACTCATAGAATCATTGGGCTTGAATGGAACTCAGAAGGTAAACTGGTTCTTATTCTCTTGAACATCTGTGTCTTCACTATCCAAAGCAAATGTTTTTATACTTGATTTTTAAAAAACTTTCTAGAGATGGGATTCCATAACTGTGTTCTTTTGCCCGTCCTGATGTTTGATCATCCTTACCAAAAAGAATTCTTTCTCTCTAGCCAAATTTTGAGTGCAATTTTAGTCCGTTTTCTCAGGAAAGCTAATAAGTATCCCCTTTGTAGTGACATTTTTCCCAATATGAAATGGGATTACTTTTCCAAATAAGCCCTATTTTCCATTCCTTTAATCATTGATTTTGATTTTCTTTGTATTGTTTTTTCTCTTAAAGTGTGGCTATCAAAACTGGACAAAAACTACTCGTGAGGACTCCAGTAATGCCAAACACAGCAAAGGAATTTTTTTGGTCCTCATTTCTTTGTCATATGCTTTTTAATATATATATATTTTTAAAAACATATCTAATGACCGGCCTGAAAGTCAGGAAGACAAAGTCCTGCTCCTGATACATACTAGTGTGAGAGATGATCTCTCAAAAGTGAAGCCTCCTCAGGGGATCAATAGTTCTTGTTAATATTTCTTGATTGTTGCTTTCAAAACCCTCCCCCGCTCAGACCCTGTTTTTAAGCACATAACAGAAAGAATAAGCCCTGACCCCAATCTGAACTGCTTGCCCTTAGCTTCCTGCCTTCTCTTGTCTCTGGGATAAGGGGGAAGGGGATTAGGGAGGGGAAATTGCAGTAGGAATTACCTAACTCATGGCCCTAAACCCCCTCCTGATCACCACCCCACTACTACGTCAGCTTTAGGTTTACTAAATAAGGACATGTATGTTTGGATTGGCTATACCCTGTTTCCTTATTCTTTGTCTTTGAATTTTCTTGCCTAGAATGTAAGCCCGCCTCCCAGCTAATGGGATAGTAAGATTTTCTTTCTCGCCTAGACTGTGAGCTCTGAAGCCCAGCCAATGGGAAGAAGGGGGGGGGGGGAGGTTTGCAGTTAAGATCTGTATAATCTGCTGAGCTGAACACACTTTCGCACTCTTTGGTTAGCTCTTTTGAGTGCCCTGAGGGAACCCTTTCTCAAGAAAGCCAATAAACAAACTATTCTTTTTGCTAATATCTCTGAGTCTCCAATTGATTGGTGAGAGTCTTCCGTACCCCACACACTAGCACCATGAGTATAGCCACATCTTTTAATCTTTCAGTGCCCCAGAAAACTCTAAGACAAAAATTTATGGATTTATTATCGACCTTCATAAGTGGAAGAAATTTCCACAGTGGGAATTTGCTACACCTATGAAATCATAGGTCTGAAGTCCCCTAAAACACCTCACTAATTCTTGTTGACTTCCGTTTGTAGACCAACCATTATGAGTCCAAATAATTTTCTGTTGTACATGAGTTTAGTTGTAAGGCAGTCTAGTGTAATGAAATAACATAAGTAAAGCCTTTTGTAAATCGTGAGGTCCTATCTAAATGTCAACTGTCATCAGTAGTCATTCAGTCGCCACAGTTTGTATCTAAGCTTGGTTTTTTGTCCCTCTGTGCTGAATAACTGAGCACCATCTTGCTCTTTATGGACGATCTCTCTAGTTTTTCAAGGTCATTGTCAATCCAATAATCCAATAAGCATTTTATTAAGCACTTATTATGCGCTATAGGCTGTGCTTGGCACTGGAATACAAAATCAAAAAATATGCCCTGCCCTCAAAGAGCTTATATTCTACTGGGGGAAAAACATGTTCACAGAAAATTACCAACATATACAAAGCAATTTCTGAGAGATGGATGGGAATTCTTTTCCTTATATTTAACTTGTTAGCTGTACTGCCCAAACTGTTTTCTACAAAGTCAGTAACTGTTCCTTCTGTAGCTCCTCCCAAGTCAATGACAATGACATTATATGACAGTTTCCCTCTGATCAACCCCTAAAAAGGGACTCTTCTCAGATTGAGCTTAAAATATTGACAGCTATCCCTAAGAACCCTCCTGCCAGACAGGGTATTAGTGCTACCAATCTAATAGTTCTTTTATGACCCTAGGCTCTTTATTCATAGGTGGGTGATGAGAATGCCTGTGAGATAGAATTGAAATCCTTACTCCTATCTAGATAAACTGTCTATATTTTCCCCTTTGCCTACAAAGCCTGACCCTCTAGCATAAAGGGAAAACAAACAGGCCTGGCACATTTTGCCCTTTATGAAGTCATGCCTTGGCTTTGAAAATATGAGAAAAAAGAACCCATTTTCTGTGCATCATAGGCATGGCCCCCTTTGCACCAAATGGCACAGGGGTTTTGAGCAGCACTGAATATGTGGAGCAAAGTGCAGGCTGAGTTATTGGACTCCCGGAAACACCACAAAGGGTCAGACATTTATTAGTAAAAGTGGCAGAAATTATTCCATACTTAAGGTTACTGGGAACAACAGATCAAGAGGGCAAATAGCTACTCTGGATAAAATCTGACCTTCCACAGACCCATTTTGCATTCTCCTGGCTAATAATGTATGAGGGCAGCAAAGGAAAGCTCCCAGTTTTCTTGATATCTGAAACAGAAAGACAGAAAATCATCAAAGATGCCTATGAAAAAAACCTACATTTATTTAGGCTGAATTATCTATCATAAATGTAGAGGCAAGAAATATAGAATCAAGATTATTCTGCTTCTCAGCTTTAACTTATACTGATAATGCATTTTGGAGATAAGGTCCCAGAGTTCTCCTAGGAATGCCTCAGGCATTGTTCTTACTTTCTAAACCCACCTCCTTTCTCATCTTGTCCTCTTTCTCTCTCTAGCTCTCTTTTCCCTCTCTAGCTCTCTCTTCTCTCTCTCTAGCTCTCTTTTCTCTCTCTAGCTCTCTTTTCTCTCTCTCTAGCTCTCTTTTCTCTCTCTAGCTCTCTTCTCTCTCTCTAGCTCTCTCTCTAACTCTACATCCTTAGCTTCTAATACTTGTGCCATTATTTGTTCTTTAGGATGATCATTATTTAAATTTTAAGTAACTGGAAGCCAGGAGCAATGTGCCCTTTTATTTTCTTAGTATTGTATTCTTCCCTACTGTGTGTCAAATTGAAATAGAATTTCAGTGTTGTGGAATCAATAAAGAATGGAATGATTTTGGCAAAAGTTACCCAAATACCATCAATTGCAGAAAAAGACATCCAATTTTGAATGTCAAAAACTATACAGTTATAAAGAGCAGCTGTAGAGACAGCTATGGCAGCAGACAATCTTACCACCACTTCAAAGTGACCTTATTGCCTCTGGAGTAGTTGGTTAAAAGGTTTAGCACTAGTGGTCCCAGATATTCCTCCATCATTTCTCTAGGACTCCGAGTTTGAGGGATATTCCAGGGTGAAAAGGTCCCAGGTATTGAGGGAAATTTCCAGAGTGGAAAGGTAACTGAAGAATGGTGGTAAAATTCAGAGAATTAGAAGCACAGCCAGGAACAGAATGAAAGATGGTTGGCTCGGCCCTTTAAAATGGCCCCAGGAGGAATTCACCAGTGGCAGAAAGGGGCTGCAGTGTACCGAGGTTCCAGTGTAAGACAGCCCCAGGCACTGAGGGAATTTTCAGGATGGGAAGGTGGTTGAGGTGATCAGAGAAGTGAATGAAGCAAAGGAAATAACCTCAGAAATAGCTTGTGAGGAAAGAATGGACTTTCCCTCTCCCAGAATCTGGCCATTCCCTTGATTTCCTTCCCCAAATCCTATTCCTTTAGTCCCACTCCCATTCTCTATCACATCTATTAGCTAGAAAGGAATTCCCATTACAACATGCTTGACAAATGCTCATACAGCCTTCAATTGAAGACCTCTAATGAAGTAGGACTCACCCAAGGCAGCCATTCAACTTTTAGACAGCTCTAATTGTTAGGAAATTCTTCCTGACATCCAACCTCAGTTTTTGCAGCTTCCATCTTGATGCTGGAAAATGTTGAAGGCGAAAGGAAAAGGGGATGGCGAGAATGAAGTGAATAGATAGTATCAAGGAAACAATGAATATGAACTTGGATAGGCTTTGAGTGATAGTGGAGGATAGAAAGGCCTGGAGTGCTATGGTTCATGGGGTTACAAAGAGTCAGATATGACTGAACAACAAAACTTCTACCCACTGCTCCAGGTTCTGCCCTCTAGAGATAAACAGAATAAATCTAATCCTTCTTCCATATCTCAGCCTCTAAAATACTTGAAGACCAATAACATCTCTGCCCTTCCCTTCCCTCCCCTTTCTTTCCTTTCTCTCTCCTCCCTTCCTCTCTTCTCCTTTCCTGTTCTCTCTTCTCCTCTCCTCTCTCCTTTCCCCTTCCTCTCCTCTCATTCCCTTCTCTCCTCTCCTTTTCACTAGTTTCTAATGACAGGGTATGGGCTCTGGACCCCCTCCCTTTGAACTTTCCCACAAATTTCAGGACCTCAGCCCCTGAACCCAGATCCCTGGCATTCTCCTGAGGCAACAGCTCATCCTAGTATAATCCTTTGAACTGGCCTTTCTTTTCTGCCCCTGACCCAGCCCAACCCTTAATTTTCTGTTGCCTCTGGACCACCTCAGGCTACTTCCCATCCCTTAATCCCATCTAGACCCCTTCTCAGTTACCTCCAGATCACCCCAGGCTATTTGCCACTCCTTAATCCCATCCAAATTTTCCCCACAATCTTTTTCCCTATAAAAAAGTCAGTCTTTGGGGCAGCTAGGTGGCACAGTGGATAGAGCACCAACCCTGAAGTCAGGAGGACCTGAGTTCAAATCTGACCTCAGACCAAACGCTTGACACTTACTAGCTGTGTGACCTTGGGCAAGTCACTTAACCCCAACTGCCTAAACAAAAAAAAAGTCAGTCTTGTCCCTACCAACCAGACTAGGTATCTCACTCACCCCAACCAATGTTTTAATAAACTACTTGTACTGGAAGAAGGCTTGAATGGTTAAATTCTTTCGAGACAGACCTATACCCTTTACGGTTGCATTTCAGGGTTCCCCAAACCCCTAGACTGCAACACTTCAACCTATCATCATATGACATGAATTCAAGGTCTTTTACCATCCTGATTGTCTCCCCCAGACGCTCTCCAGCTTGTTGGTGTCTTTAAATCGTGAATCTCAGAAATGAACACAATATTTCAGATGTTGACAGAGTGCAGAGAAACTATCCCCTCCTCATTCCTGGAAGCTTTGCCTCTCTTAATGCCAGCACCTCGAGAAAAACAGACAGCAAGTGAAGCCAAATGAGAGCCTGATCCATTCTCAAGTAAATCGCATTTCAAAAAAACAAGTTTCAGGCCCTGAAAGGTTTAGCAAACACATGGAAAAAATTTACCCCATATTCTTTGCCACATGCACCCTGCTCTTCAGCAGACAGATTTGCCGGGGAATACTAACATCTTGCCTATTAACATAGTGGGAAGTTATGCAGATGTTGGTTTAAATTCATTTGGAATCTCCTGGATTTGTTGTGGTAATTGTGCTATGCCTCTGTCAAATGACCTTCCAGGTCCACTTTTTCTCCAGGTGTCTTGATAGCTTTCTCATCTGGTAGGATCTATGGAGGGGCCAGATCCAGACTGAGATTCAGCTCTCTCTAAGAGATGACCTCTGCAAAAGTCTGAGGGTGAACTTTCACAGTTCCTGTGTTGACTGAATGCTTTAAATCCAGCATTTCTTGTGTATTAATCAATCCACAAACATTAGGTAAGCCCCTATTATGTGCCAGCCATTTGCTAGGTGCTGGGGATACAAATAGAAAGATGTCTTTGATATCAAAGAGTTTACACTCTTCTCAGGGGGCACAGCATAGAAGATATAATCAGTGGAGAGGTGGGGGTTGGTTTAGGCTGTCATGGGGACTGTGAGTAGAGCTAGAATCAATAGATTGAGAGGCACAATGGTATAGTAGATAAGGCTCTAGACTTGAGAGATGGGTTCACATCTTGCCTCAGTTACTGGCTTTCTGATCCTGGGCAAGTCACTTAACCTCTGTTTGCCTCAGTTTCCTCATCTATAAAATGAGAGGGTTGACCTCTAAGGTCCCTTCTAGCTCCAAACCTATGATCTTATGATTATCATACCTTCCTCTAGGAGCAATGATAATAGGAATTTGATTATTGTCTCCTGAGTAAAAAGAGGTGTAAATTAGGGAGGGAGATGGGGAGAGAACAGGGAAAGAGGTATGTTTGGCATCAGGGCAGATGGCAAGATGCCTAAGCTGGCTAGACCCCGCTATCCTGGCATATAACTGGATGGGATGAAACATTGTCTGGAGGTTTGGGGCCAGCTAGAAATAGAGGGTTGAGGTGAGGATTGACTCACCCTCCAATCCAGGCAGCTCTACCCCGGGGCAAGTCCCAATGCTGAGTGCATAATAAGCTCTTTGAAAGGAAATATTAGCTGCCACTATATATATATATAATCCTCTCCTTGCCAGTGCTGGTCTACTTAAGCCTGCTCATTCTACAAATAGAAGCTAGAGGGGGAAAAAATGTGCCTCTCCTCAAAATGAGATCAGCTCATCTGGCCCACAAAGAAAAAAAATCCAATTAATTTATAATATCCTGTTTAAGACAATTAAGGCAATTCCCACGGAGTAAGCTAGCTGGAGGCTTTAATGAACATTGGGTGAAGCCTGGAAGCTGTGTTGATTTTAGTTCATCCTTTAAACATGTGAAGGCTTATTTGAAGTTCAACTGAATTTGCTCAAATTCTTAGGTCAAGTGGCCAATGAGAAGTTTTGTTTTGCTAGACTATACATGTTTGTAAAAGGAGATTTGTTTTTTCTTGATTTCTCAGTGGGGAGCAGGGTGAGGGAAGTGGGAGGGAAAGAAGGCTGATCTTTGAAAATAAAATAAAACAAAAATAAATTCCTAGGTCAAGGATCCCAAGTCCTTTCTTAATAAGTTATTTTTTATTGTCTCAAAGTCTTATGATCTTCAGTGCGACATGGGGAGTGGGGGGTGAGGGGTGCGGAACAGGAGGGAGTTTTGTGAAGGTGTAAGTTTTAAGCAGAGGGTGGCTGCCAGTGATGTTCCTTGACCACTTGTGTTCCTTTACCAGTGGTCCCTTCGAAGGGTGGAGCCATTCCTGGTCATCCTCCCCTCCCTGCTTGAAGTGTAAGGAGGTGGGTGTGGTGGTGAAGACTGCCTTAGAGATCTACTTTGAGATCAGAGGTTACTGGGTGTAGCCTAGAAGTTCAGCATAGTTGCAAAAGGCCATAGATTATAGGATCATAAAATATTAGAGTTTAAAGGTAACTAGACACTGTCACTTTCTCTTTCATTTTATAAATGAAGAAATCTAGGCTCAAAGAAATTAAATGATTTTCCTAAAGTCACAGAGGTAGTAGTTGTAGAGGTAGGATATGAACCCAGGTCTTTTAACCCCAAATCTTATACTCTTTACATTATATCATGCTGCCTCCTTTCACACAGTTGGTTTCAATAAATTCTACTTCTGCCATGACATTCGAGGGGCAGCTAAGTGGCCAGGTAGACAGAGTCCTGGGCCTGGAGTCAGGAAGGCTCCTCTTCCCGAGTTCAAATCCAGCCTCAGACACTTACTGTGTGACCCTGGGCAAGTCACTCAGCCCTGTTTGCCTCCGTTTCCTCATCTATAAAATGAGCTGGAGGAGGAAATGGCAAACCACTCCTGTGGCTTTGCCAAGGAAACCCCAAATGGGGTCACGAAGAATTGCACACAACTAATAAACTGAACAGCAGCAACCATGGGATTCAGAATACTGGATCACAGATTTACCCCAAATGACAATTCTTTGTTTGGCTGTCCCCTTGTGTGGCTGTGAGGCTCCCTGTGTCCTTTTGGTAGGATTCTGCTTTCACATTTTTGTTTTATCATTTCACTCACCAACTCTGAAAGTGAGAGCAATGGAAATGATGGAATAATATTGAATTGGAGAAATCATGTCAAAGTATCATAGATTTAAGAGTTGAAAGGAACCTTAAAGATCATAAGATTGTAGGATCACAGATCTAGAGTTGTAAGGGGCCTCCCAGGACCTCTAATCGAACTACTCTATTTTATAGATAAAGAAAGTTAGGCCCAGGGATATTAAGAGACTTGCCCAAGGTCATCTGTTCCAACCCTCCTCTTGCTTTGCAGATAAGGAACTGAGAAACTCAGGTTAAGTGACTTGCTTAAGGTCACACAGATCTTAAGAGGCAGAGACAGGATTTGAACATAGGTCCAGGACTCTGGGTCCAGCACTCCTTCCATTATATTGCCATTGAGCTCAAGTGTGGCCTAGAAGTTCTTTTTTTTTTTAAAGAGACAAGTGTATTAAATTGTTTATTAGGTCTGAAACTTGATTGAGGACTAAGAGGGAAGTGTGTCAAATAGTAACAAACTATATATAACCAGCTAATTCACTAAAATGTCTAAAGTTCTGGCCAAATTCAATGAGACTGTCTCAAAGAAGGCTTGGAAAATCTTTTACCATTAGAAGCAGTCCCAGAGGTTCTAGTCCAACTATAGAGAATGAGAAAGTTCAGGGATCTCCAACTCAGGAGTCATTTCATAGATAACCAAAGCCCTGACTTTCTCAGGACTTCTGACATCTCTGTCAGTTGAATTCAAATCATCCTCCAAGATACCAAGTAACCCTTGATTGTCCCAGGCATTCGGGATCCCTTTTGTCCAGCTCTACTAACAGCACCTGCCACCCACACCATTTCCTGGTGCTCCTTCCTTCACAGTATTTATCCTGCCCTGCTCTGCACTTATTTCCTCTTGAATCTGGATTACTGCCTAGCACTTTGGACCACCTTCATGCCTAGCCCTTTGAATTTAGTTCCTGGCAAACTCTGGCTCAACTGGGCACAGTATTCTGTTTATATTTTCTTTCAGTTATGACTTGAGCCACACCCTCCTGTTTCCCTCAGGCGCTATATTTTCCCCAATTACCAGATTTTAGCCCTATCTCCATAGAAAGCAGGGCCTGACCTTTGAATAATCAAAGGATTTATTTGTAGCTCTCTACTTTGTATTACCTTTATTTGTGTTTTTGTCTCTTCCTCATTCCCCCAGCTATTAATATCCCCCCCTGAAAAAAATTACTTTGCATTTATTGTGTGTGTATGTGTGTGTGTGTATACATACACATACACACACACACACATATATATATTTGCATATACTTATACATGTTATTTCCCCTATGGAATGTATGCTCTTTAAAGGGCAGGAGTTATTTCACTTTTGCCTTTGTTTCCCCAGCATCTAGCAATATTCCTTGCACATAGTAAGTGCATTTTTAATAAATGCCTGTTGATTGGTGGATTGATTCTCAACTCCTGCTGGATTGTAAACTTCCAAAGGGCAGGAATAAAGTTTATTTATTCTTGTGTCTCTTTCAGGACCTAGTACAGTGCTCCACATATAGTAGGTACTTAATAAATGTTTATGTCATTAATAGGATATGATCTAAGACCAGAGCTGGGTACGTTTCAGAATATTCTCTGTTGGTTAGAGGATCTGCATAGGGCAATGCTTAACTCATGAAATACGGAAGGCTTTCTCTCTCGGGATCAGTATGCCCCGTTTCAAGGTCTGGAAATCCCTGGAAGATTGACTGCCAAACTCCCTAAAATCATTATGATAATTAGTCAATAAATCTACTATGACATCTATTGTGACTACCAGGACTGCCATTACTATCTTACAAAAGTGCAGGGAGACATAATCTGGACAGGCAAGATAGCCAGATGTAGCCAGGGATGTAGGATGAAGGAAAATCAGGTGAAATAGGGGGGATGGATTCCAATCTGCTGCACTGAAGAGGAGGTATATTTATTTGATGCAATCCCCACATGGAAGAGGCTGGAGAACCTGCTTCTGGAAAAAAAAATGCTGACATGCAATGAAGAGGCCCTGCTCCTTGATCTGGAGCATGTAAAGGCTTTCTAAAACTGGTTCTGGTCAGCTAACCAAGTAGTGAAGAGGAGTCTTTTTTCAGGGGGAAAATTATTTATTTATTTTTAACATTTTAAAAAAAAATTCTGGTTCCAAATTCTCTCTCTTCCTCCAACCTCTTCCCTACCCACTGAGAATGCAAACAATATGATATCCAATTATACATGTGAGATCATGCAAAACTTATTTCCACATTAGCCATGTTGCCAAGAAAAAGCAAGAA